AATAATGAAATCTGAAGTGCGTGAGTGACGATGTGAGTGTGTATCGGTGTGGGTCTGGATTTGGGGTTTCCTTATAATGTTATCCACATCCGACACCCGCCCAAAACCAAGTTTCGAATTTCGACTTGAAACTTTGCGTAGAGATAGACCTCAGTGAGAAGAGTTTATTGTGAAAGTTTCAGATCTTTTCGTTGTTCCTATCCTAAAATACAACTATGATAAAATAGCTTATACACACCAACAGATCCCGATGTTCTTATTTCAGACTAGGAGCAATTAAAAGATCTGAAACTTTCACAATAAACTATTCTAATTGAGACCTGTCCCTGTACAAAGTTTCAAGTTGAAATTCGAAACTCAATTTTCCTAGTGTTCCTGAGGGAGACCACGGCTTTTTGTTTATACATACAGTAAAAATGCAGTATCTCGACAGTAATAAGCTAGCAGCACGAACTTTTTTTCAGAGTATTCATAGATTATTGGGGTCTACATGATGTGCATGCACTCGACTCAAAAGCGATGTGACAGTTGGGAATGTTCCCTCGTCAATCTTATTCTAATTCTTCTTGTCTATACTTCTTATTGTTTTGTTTGTACATCCTTAACTGTTCTTCTTTAGTATTTTCTAAATGCATCATTTTATTGATCATTAAAAGATATTGATAATATCTCAACTATAGCATCAAATATCTTTCTATTATTTTCTGTTTATTTGGTATGAAAATATTGATATATCCTTCTTGTTAGTGATTCAATTATCTATATTATCTGTTATATTTTCTTTTCTGCTGTATTTGTGTGACTATTACTTGCAAAATCTTATCGACAATAGTATGACGTATCATTGATATATTCTTTTATTGGTTATCAAATACCATTAAACAGTTTCAATGATGTCAATTTGGTTTGAGTCATATGAATATTTCAATGTGATTGTAATAAATTTTGATGAGGCCTTTTCATATTCAATTTTATTGTAAGTTCTGCAGTTAATTATAGAAATTTCATATTTTTATTCGTTGCTGGTTTGAATATAACTCATCAATACGTGATGAAAAAACTGTTGACTCGAAGTTTAAAATACGAACTGTCTAATGAGTCCGATTAGAACATCATGTTGTAATTTGTAGTTATCGAATGGTCATGATAGAGAGACAAGAATCAATCCTAATATTTTCATGTTTACTTTGTTATTCTAATCAATCATTTACTTATCATATTAATTAACTTTATAAAAATTCATTAATGAATATTTTTCATTGAAATGTATAGTTTAAGATACGTTCGAAAGACGAAAATATCTCATTTTTTTTGTTTTATTGAAAATAAAATATCATCTTTCTTGAGTATTTTATGGTTTATCAAATGTGTATTATCAAAAAAACAAAACTGTATTATAAAAAAAAAGAATAATAATAAAAAAAAATTTCTTATACAGGCACTTTTTGTTGTTCTTGTAATTCTTCCCTGTGTACTTTGAGCATAGCTTCGTGATGTACAGCTTCAAAATCGACTTGATCAACAAGAAATTTAGTTATATGATCAACAGCAGATTGAATTGTTTCTTGTACTTGTGATAATTGTAAACCATTTTGATGACTTTCTCGATTTAGATGATCAAGTTGTTGTTCAACATATGCATCTATAATACATTTAATTTTGACCTCTTCTAGGCTAAATCAGTACGAAATGTACAGACAAAACTACGGAACTCAAAAAACATTGAATTTCTGCTCAGTCACTGACAAGCAGCAAAGTTTATTTGTACGCTTATTGATATCTATAACGTCTATCGCGATCTGTGACACATGGAGAGATGTTACTAAGATGTGCGTCAAGGTATGTAATGAAAGAGAAGCGTTGCTAGGGATTTCTAGCACGTCTATAATGTGTTGTTTACAAAGATGTTTGTCACAATCTGTAATGTTTCTATGGTAAGGTTTGTCATCGGATGTGGGGAAGAGGCGGCATAAATTTATTTTCAATATACTGCAAGGCTCCTCTCAGATCGTGTTTTACAAAATATAAATTCATATTTACTCTTAATTCCAAAATAAAAATTCAATGCATCATGAAGTCGTGCTTGTAATTCAATTAATTGTCTTGTATCTTTTACTCGAGCAACAGCATCAAGTCGTTGTTCTAATTTACCCATTAAACGAGTTTTTATATCATAATATGTATATAACGTTTTTCGATAAGTACTCGCTAATTCTGTATTAAGTAGAAGAGCTTTTTCAATAGACATCTAAATTTATATAATGAATCTTTGTTGTTGTTTATTTATTTTCTAGAATTTACTTTTTTATCAGACAAATAATTCGAACGTTCTTGAAATAATTGTTTATTTAATGAATCAGCATTTGATTGTCGTTGTAAACATTCTTGTAAAACTCGTACAATTTCTTGTTCACCGGCTTGAACTAGACCAAAATTATAATTTTCATGAGCTAATTCTGCTCTATAATAATAAAAAAAATTGTTTTGTTTTGTTTTTTTGTTCTAAACAAAATAAGATTCATTGAAGTACATACTCAGCTGTTTGAATTTCACCACGAATTTTAACTGTTAATGTTTCCATCATAGCACGAGATTCATCCATTTCAACTAGATGTTTTTTCATATAATTTGTTTGAGTTATGATATGATTAAGTGTTGTTTCAAGATTGTGTGCTGTGGTCTGTTTTAAAAAAGAAAAAGAAAATATTATAAAGATACATCTATAGAATTCAAATGTTAAATAGAAGAGAACTATTCTACAATAGACAAGCAAGTTAAGCATAATCTTCTATGAGGCTAGATAATCATTATGGTAACCTTTAAATTCTTAAAGAAAAATGTCTAGGTAAAGAAAAGAGAGAGAGAGAGAGAGAGAGCGATAGAAATATACAATGATTACCAGGATCCAACGCGGTGGCATCATAAACAATACAAAACAGTCGCCATTGTATCACCATTTTCCGTCAGCTCGTAAAATACGCTGACGTTATTCAGTCTAAATAAATGTAGTAATACACCGTTTTCAGATGGTTAGAATGACTGATCTAGGCAATTGAATCGAATTTGGAAAACGATGTGTAACATTGATGAAATCGAAATACTTTCTTACACTTCAGAAGTCACATAATATTTCTATAATTTTTTTTTGAATCAATTATTTTTACTTTATGAATAACGATAATCGGCATTAAGTACCAATCAAGCAGATGAACTTTACTTAATGCTAACACAATCATGAGGAGTTCGAGCGAATCTCAACCAGTTCCATCTCGCTGTTATAAATACACAATAACCGTTCATCTTCTAGATATGTTCTAATGAAGACTAATCTGTATGAATCCTAGATGGACAACAAGTAGTAATCCTAACATTGGTCGTATTAGGATTAGAATTCACAAAAATGAAGGATTTCTAGATTAAAATACTAATATTATTTAAATTATCTTACTGATGCTTGATCATGTTGATTATTGATATTTGTTTTTGCTTGTGCTAATTGATCTTTATCTTTAACATAATTTTCATTAACTTCTAATAAATTATGTTTAAGTGATCCTAAACTTTCTTTTGTTTTTATATCATTTGTTTCTAAATTTGTTACATTATTTGTTAATGTATCAACTTTAGTTTGTAAATCTGTAGCAATACGTTCAGCCTAAAAATAATTTTAAAAGAATAATATTTTTTGTTTTTTGTTATTCAACTAACTTCTGTAGCTCGAATTGCTTCTGCATCATTTAAAGAATCAAGTTCATGTTGATCATTATCTAAATGTTTATCAAGCATGGCAATTATTGTTGATTCTTCATGAATTTGTCTTCGTATTGATTCCATTGTTGCCTTAAATATAAGATTATGAAATTATATAGAACAAAAAAAAATAAGAAAATAAAAGAATATACTCTCATTCCATCTTCTTCTTTTTGAAGTTTTTCTGTTTCACGTTTCATATCCGTACTAATTGAATCATTTGTATAAAATGCTCGTTGTAAATTTTCAGTTACCGTTCGTAACATTTCTGCATCACGATCACGTTGTTGATCAAAACGTGCTAATGATTTTTTATCACGATCAATTTGTCTATAGAAATCAATGTTTTATTATAAACTCTTGCACACATCAAAAAAACTTTGTTGGTACAAATTTTTTTAGAAAGATCTTCTCTAATATGCACTCTTATTCATAAAGAATCGAATGCCGTTATTACATTTTAGTTAGTTCATTGAGATTATGTTTCAAATACAACAAAAGAAAAAGAACTACAGTTGATTTTCTTGTGGGTCGACATTTCATATGAGACAAAAAATTTGTAGAATATAAAATGAGTATTTAGAAAAAACGAAAATGCATTTAGTTTTGAATTGCAATAATGAAAATACAAAAAACTTCCGTCCAACGAAATATTTTGAGCTTTTCAAAGATTATTTCATTACTTTCGAACAAAATTTCTAAGCCCGTATTCGAAAAGAGCATTCTAACTCATAGCTTTTGACTCATCGGAAATACTTTCTAGCAGATCAAAAATGAACAGACATCTTCTCGAAAACCTTTTCGTTCGTCCGTTATTAATTCATTTTCACATTCATCAATGTTCGAAGCAATTTCAATATTTGAATCTTCATCGTCACCAAGGAATATAAGCTATTATTTTCTCTTTTATTTTCCAATAAACACGATTTAGCGTTGATGAGATCTCGACGTTTCAAAATATTTTTACTTTTTCAAACTGCTAATTCATATAAAACCATAGGAGTAAAAACGTGGATAAAGTGAACATCAGATTCGAGTTTTTGCTGTCCGGATTCGCTATTTTACTTGAGTCGAGTCTAAAAATGGTGGAATTGAATTCAGGATGAAATTCTGCATCGAATGATATCGATTTAGTATGGGATCATCGAGCAAAAATTTCCCACTTCATCCAGCCACGCTCCCTCATGATGGCCCCATACTAAATCGATATCATCGGATTCGCCATCAAATTCTGCATCTATAAAAGGATGAACATAAAATTAGGATGACGAAAAAATTGAAAAACTGTGGTGTGAAACTATCTGCCGAATCTATTATGGGAGGGGTTATGAAAAATTGAAAAAAGAAATAACATACGTATCGATTTTCTCTAATTTTCGTTCATCTTCATCAATTACTGTTAATTTTTCTCGTTCTTTTTTAATAATTTTATCTAATTTTTCTTCACGTTTAGAAACATTTGTTTGTAATGCATCTAATTCTTGTTTTCGATGATCTTCACGAATTTTTTCTTCTAATCGAGCTTGTTCAAATTCGATATTTAATCGTTCAATTTCATGTTGAATACGTTCACGATCATTTGTAAGTGCTGCTAACTTTAGAAAAAGAAAGAAAAAATCAATCAACATTAAAAAAACAAAAAAACAAAATAAAATTTACTTTTAATTTATTACTAGCTATATCAGTACGTGCAGTATCTCGTTTTTTTACTTCTTCATCATAAGCTCGATCATTTTTTTTAACTGTTACTTTTGCATCATGTATTGTTTTTTGATAAACTTTATGTTGATCAATTGATGCTTGTAATTTCGTTCTAAATAATATAAAAATAAATAAAAAACAAAAAAAAATTTCATTTAAAACTAACGTTATTCGTTGTAGGCCTTTTAATGCTTTATCAATTTCACCACGTATTTCATCACGTTCAGTTCCAGCACGTTGATTAGCTCGTGTACATTTATCTAATGTATCAGCATTTTTTGTACGACTTAACATTAATTCATGTTCAGTTTCTTTTAATGCATCATCAACTTTTATTATTTCAATTAATTCTGTTTGAACTTTTTCTGTTATTAATGGTATTGTTTGACGAATATCAGTAACTTCAATTTCAAGTTGTCGATGCCATGTTCGAGATAGATCAATTTTTCCAAGTACTTTTTCAGCTAATCGAGCATTATAAGCAATATGCCATTGAAGTTCTGTAATATCGGTTATACAAGCATCATGTTCTAACAAACAAAGAAAAATTTTTCTTTTTGTAGAAGATTAGAATATTCAGAAAATTTCAACGCGAATGTAGCCGATCCAGAGGTCGAAATTTCACTAAATCGATCATAACTCTGAACGCAATGACCAAGCTGTTCTAGAATCTTTCTAGTTTCACTAAGTCCTACTCAAAGTCAAACAAATGATTTCTTCGAAGGGAACAGAAATGAAATTAAGTAAGATTTTCTGAAGAGTTCCAACTTGACTGGAGATAACAGATCAATTATATTTTTTTAGAAATCAAATTACATAGATTCATAAAGAGACTTCTAATATCGATTTTCTGAAGGACGAATATTTGTTTTTGCAAGGATAGACACATTGTATATGGTGTAATAACTACAACCTTCGACGGATTTAACTCTGATATAGAGTCAGTTCGGCGAGGATTTCTAAGAACATAAAAACAAGTGTGATTATTTTCAAGAGTAGTTTTTTTTTAAATCATTTGTTCGAAACATTATATACGAAAACAATTGCAATCAAGATATCTTAGTTAAATAAAAATTCAAAATAAAAAAATTTTTTTTTTCGAACCTTTTTGTACAGCTAAAGGTAAATCATGTAATCGTTTTAATCGCCAATGATCAATATTTTCTTTCAACTTATCTCGAGCTTGATATTCACGTTCACATAAATGAATTAAACGTAAACGTTCTCGATCGAGTCGAGCAAAAAGTAATAATACTTCATCAAGTATTTGATCTTCGAGTATATCATGATGTGGATGTTGATCAACAATATGACCACTTCGACCAATAACTTCAAGTTGTTCTGTTGAAGAAGGCATTTGAGTAAAAGATACTTCTCGTTTGACTGTCCCTTTTTCTATAAAAAACTTATACTTTCTACAAATTAGTTGGATTTTATACGTACTTGTTTCTGCATCTCTAAAAAAAATTGAAAAATAAATGTTAAGTTTTTTTTTATAAATAATAATAATAATAAAATTAATTACTTTCGTTCAATAGCATTTTGAACTAATTCAAGATGATTAATAGCTTTCATTACACATGTTGAAAATATTCGACTAAGAACACAACTTGTCTTTCGATGAAAATCATATTCAGGCCAATTTTCTGGTAATTCAAAATCATCATCTTCGACATGATCTAAACACACCAATAGTGTAATCTGTTTTTGTACAAAATGAGAAAAACATGAGTTCCAACACGAAACCGAGTAAATTTCCTTACAGTTAGAAATGCCAAAAAAAAAAACGTTGTGATTTCGGTCGACTTTTACATAAAAGTCAAACTTTGAGACAAATTTATAAACTTGCACAAAGCTCAAACAAACTTATCTCAGGCTCCTAAAATATTCTAAACTGTCTTGCAGTTCTTTGGAGCAGCTATACAATTTCAGTTAGAAAAGTCAAAGTACGATTCGATCGGGTCCAGGTTCGAACATTTTGGAGGCAAAGAGCTCTAGTAGCTATGCTCGCGACAGCTGTTAACCAAAGCGATGATTCTCGACGTCATACTGAGTTTTTCAGAAATAGACAAACTAATTTATAGTTCATTCTTTTGAAAACATGACAAGAGCATTTATTCGCCTTCTTTTTTTTTTGGTTAAAATATTATTTTGAGTCACTCGGGGGAAAAGAAATTCTATTAATTTTGTTTATTTTTTGTGTTCGTATAAAAATCAAATATAATAAAGATCTTACGAATCTGTTCAATTTGTTTTTTATTTTCAATACCACCTAAACCAGAATCTGATGAAGCTGATGAAGGTAGATTATTTTCTAAAAATTAATATTTAAATTTCATTATAATACATGGCTAATTAACATACCCATATCGATCATAAGTGATAATTTACCTAATAAGAATAAGTTTTCATTAATGTCAAACTATATTTAACATTGCTTAGCAATTTGTGTCATAGATGTCGCTTTAATACTTTTATTAATCTTTTTATTTTTTCCTATTAAATAATCAAAATATTTAGTTAAAAATTTTTAAAAAAAACTGGAAATTTAAATATTTTCTAATATTATAATAATATTAAATATGATTTGTTAATTAAAATCCATTCATTAATACTATTTAACAATCATTAGGTTTTTATTTCAAAAACAAAAACCATGCCCGTATCGTTTATGTTAATTATGTTCAGTTTAGCCATGTTTTTTGGCTCATATCTATCCGGTCTTATTCCACTTGCATTTAATCTATCTGAAGTGAATTATTTTATTTTATTCTTCGAAACAAAAAAAATAATAATAAAAATTTTTTAGACTAAAATGCGTTATGTCACTGTACTTGGTGCAGGTCTTTTAGTTGGTACAGCACTTGCTGTAATCATTCCTGAAGGTGTTCATGCTTTATATGTAAATGAATTAGGTATGAATAATAAAAACAAAATAATTGAATTTATTTATCTCTATCTTAGACACTACTCATGGTAAGATACAATTGGATCAAAAAATTGTTGGTCAAGATCTTAATAATAAAGATAAAACCAAGGATATACCCCATGATCATAAACATGGAGTTGAACCATCAACAAAATTAAGTACAGATAAACATTCCGATGCTACTCATTCAGCAATTGGTATGTTAATATTAGAGATGTGTGGGAGCACTAGAAAAAAATTTGCTAAAAAAACTTGGCCCCACACATCTCAAGTCAATATTATATATTTGAATTATTTCAATTTTATTTAATTCTAGGTGTTACTTTAATTCTTGGTTTTGTATTTATGTTAATTGTTGACAACTTTAGTTCGAAACTTTTTCATAATCATGGAAATCAAGGTTTAAATTTTAATTAAATTAAATAAAATTATCAATTAAATGTTTTTTTCTATTAGTTATTGATTCATCTGGTTCAGTAATTATATCAAAACCAAAAGCAACATGGACAGCTACATTAGGTCTTGTTGTTCATGCAGCAGCTGATGGAATTGCTTTAGGTAAAGAAAAAAAAAAGAAGACAATTATCAACATATCAAAGATAACCTAAAAAATACTCTACCTTAACAGTGTATAGTTATATATGAACAAAGGTTTCAGCTTGATCGGACATACTAATCACTCAATTGTATAGATCAGTTCGAGACTGCAAAGATAAAATTTTTAACATGAATGCTGCCTATGTATTCAAGTAAAGTTTGAAGTAACGAGAAAAAGAAAGAATAGTAGATTTTCTTAATATAAAATGTGTGTTTATTTATCGCAAGCAGTAATTCCAGATCTATAGATCTTAATGGAAAGGATTTTGGATGAAAACACTATATTTTGCATGCACTGTAATCTTGAAGGCGCGAAGAAATCTTCATTGTCTGGGACGATTTCAACACGGCGATGTGAAGATTTCTTCATAGATCAGGCAAACTAAAACCGTGTGGCATGAAATTTTTAATATTGATAGAAGCTGTACTAAGCTGTCTAACGTCATACGAATTGTTTTCTATGTTGACCTTCTAATTCCTTCGTATGAAGAGCGATCAGAGTTCAACATGGTCAAACTATGAAACTAAAGAATTATAGTTTAGGTACTTTTTACGATTACTGTAAGACATGGAATTTTAAAATCAAGTAGATTTTCAATTTTTAATGTTATTTTTATTAAATCGATTGATAAAATATTATTTCTAGTTAGATGAAAAAACAATACATATCAATAAAAAAAAAAAAGCCAAAACTTTTCTGTAGGTGCAGCATCAGCAACAAGTCGATTTAATGTTGAATTAATTGTATTTATGGCTATAATACTTCATAAAGTAATATTTACATGAAATTGAAAAGTTTGATTTTTGTTTTCAAAAAAAATTCTTTTTTTTATTATAGGCTCCAGCTGCTTTTGGTCTTGTTTCATTTTTAATATCTGATGGTGTTGATCGTAAACGTATTCGACGTCATTTATTAATATTTTCATTAGCTGCTCCATTAGTAGCACTTATTACTTTTGTTTTATTAAAAAGTGTATGTTTCTTTTTCATAATTTTATATTTTTTAAAAAAAAATCTGTTTTTTTTTTGTTTAAAGGGAATTCGTGATGCATATTCAGTTGATTTAACTGGTATAGCAATGTTATTTAGTGCGGGTACATTTCTTTTTGTTGCTACTGTACATGTTCTACCTGAAGTTCAATCTCATTATGATGATCGACAATTTCGTGCCATAGAACTTTTTATTCTTATTATTGGTTGTTGCTTTCCTATTGTTCTTTCAATGGGACATAAACATTGATCTTGTTTTTATTTTTTTCTCTATGAAATTTTTTAATAAGATTTTATTTATCTGAAGTTAACAAAAAAAATCAAATTTTGACATTTATCTATTTTAGATTATTATTATTATTTTTTGTTTTGGTAAATGGCAGATGATATCTATGTTGTTGAAAAAATTCTTGATAAAAGAATATTAGATAATGATCAAATAGAATATCTTTTAAAATGGTTTGGTTATAATGAAGAAGATGCAACATGGGAACCTGAAGAGAATATTTTTTGTAAAGATTTAATTGATCAATATGAATATAATAGAAAATTAAAAAATATAGAAGAGAATGTAGTAGGTTAATTAAATAAAAATTTCTTTCTTGTTTTTTTTGTTTTTGTTTTTAATGAAATATTTATTTATTTAGAATGATGAATGTAAACAAATTCTTAGTGAAATTTGTGATGAAATTGAAACAGGTAATTATAAACTTATTTACTATTTATTCATCACTTGTTTTTGTCATGGCTGAGTGATTACGTTGTTCGACATTTATTCACAAGCCATGGAATGACCTTGAACTAAGTCACTCACGCGGCTTGAATCATTCTTGTGCTTGTTCGTGCAAATCTTATGTTCTTTAGTTATCAAGCTCGCACATATAGGAGACATTCTACAAAGATGGAATTGGTGTAGCTTCAAAAAAACCAGGAGCTCTAGTGAAAGATTATTGCTATGAGTAACAGTTTTGTTAATCTGGAGTATTTTTCTTAAATTAAAGCAGTTTGAGCAATGTTTCTGCGAGGAAGTTTCTTGAAATGATAAAAAGACTTTGAAATCGGAGTTGTATTTACTGAGAATAAGCAAAGTCTATAATAGTTCATTCTCTTATTGCTTTCTTCTCGAGTTATGATGATTTTTACTGACTGAAAGTTTCATTCATAATAAATGTTTTCTTCTTGTGATAACAGATTTTATAAGAAAAGTGAGGTTTTTTTTTCTAAAATATGCTGATTGATTGGAAATCTGATATCTTAAGAAGAAAATATTTTTTCTAGGTGAAAGTTTTACTATATGAAAGAGATCATGAAACTTTTGGATTTTTGATGGTAATACTTTGTCCTATGCTTGAAACTTAGTGTAATTGTCATCATTCGAGAAATTCTCTCATTTTAGTACTTAGTTATGGTTTTATTCAGAAGATCAATCTGATATAAAGTAGTGGATAAAAAGTTTAGAAACTTTATAGCAAGATTTTACAGATGAATAATGATGGCAAGGCTCCTAAAAAACCCAACACGGTATTTTTCAGGTTCTAGAAGACTTTGTCAGAGATATTTTTGAACGGTGCCATCTTAAAGAACACAAAATTCTGGGCAAAATGAGGGGTCGCCGAGTTTTCTACGACCTTCTCATAAAAAGTTACAAGCATCATGAAAAAACGAAATTTTTTTTTAAATCGACTGAAAACGCCTTTTTTAATGATTTTTGTAATGCTTGTAACTTTTTATTTGCCATCATTGTTCATCTGTAAAATCTTGCTATAAAGTGTATTGGATTGAAGCTACGTGCTTAAAATTATGAAAAAAAACCAAAAAAATCGTTGTTTAATGTTGATATTATGAAATGTTTTTTTCTTAATGATAAATTTGAATTCTTCTAGTACCCTCAACATATCAATCAATGAATGTGAGTACTGATGAACAAGAAGTCGTATGTTTTCAATTGTCTACTGATATGTCTGTGACAACTACAACTACTGATAATTCAGAAATTATTGATGAGAACTTAATTAATGATATCTCATTACATAATAATCTTCATAGTAAGAAAGAAAAAGATTTCAAATTATTTTTATTAATTCATTTATTTTATTAAATAGATGAAGAAGAAAATGGTACATATACTGAACATGGTATCTATACATATTAATCTGATATTATATGCATACATTTTGTTTTTTGTTACTTATAGGAGAATCACAATTAATGAGTAACAGTCCTGAGGTAAATAAACATAGAATTCAAAATTAAATTTATATTTTTTGAAATATTTCTTAGTCAACATTTGATTCTAATTATAATGGTATACGAACAAATACAACATCATTAATACGAAAGAAAAAATTTCGATCTAATTCTAATGATAATCGAACAAATATTAGTGATGATATACATACAAAAGAAATTGATATAGAAAATAGTACAATAGATTATCTTGCACTTGAACCTGAACGTATTGTATCAATAACACGTTCACGTACATCAACACAAGATCTTGAATTTTTATTAAAATGTACACGTTATCCAACAAAATTATTTTTTATATCAAATGAAAAAGCAAAAGAACTTATACCTGATTTATTAATTGATTTTTATGAAAGACATATTAATTGGTTTATTGATCGACCATTACCAAGACAAATATCACAAAGACAAAAATCTTAGATAGATATATATATATATCTTGCTATTGTTATTCGGTTATAAAATTTTTCTTTTTTTTTTTTTTTTTGTTAGTTTTGTATATGAAAAACAAAATGAAAGACTTTCTATATAGGATAGCTTCTCTTCTTCCAATGGATATTAAAATGTGATAATATATTTATATTTATGTAGATTTTATTTGTTTTAAAAAGAAATGAGATTATTTCAATGTATGACTTTCTTTCCATTGCGAATATTTTATCGTTATGTAAGTAATACACGTTTACAAGTATTTCAAAATGCTACACAAATTGTTGATCCAGAACGTATTCGAAATGTTGGAATTATTGCACATATTGATGCAGGTATTTAAATAATCTTAGAAAAGTTTTATTTTAACGAATGAAATAATTGATTTTTTATTTTTCTATCTAGGTAAAACAACAACAGTTGAACGAATGTTATATCATGCTGGATTGATTCGAAGTATGGGTAATGTTGATGAAGGAAATACAACAATGGATTATATGGAACAAGAACGTGAAAGAGGTATAACAATAACATCAGCTGCTATTACAATACCATGGATAAAACATCGTATTAATCTCATTGATACACCCGGTATGTTTCATGTATATAGGTGAGTTAATAATATGAAACAGCAAAAAGAAAAAAATCATTTTTATTTTTAAATAGGACATGTTGATTTTACTATTGAAGTTGAACGATCATTACGAGTTCTCGATGGTGCTGTTGCAATTCTTGATGCATCTGCTGGTAAAAACTAATAACTATATTGAATAATAAAAAGAAAAGAAAAATTAATTAATAATTTCAGGTGTTGAAACTCAATCATTAACTGTCTGGCGTCAAGCTAATCGATATCATGTACCTCGTTTTATCTATATCAATAAAATGGATAAACCAACAGCTGATTTATCAATGTGTCTTGATTCAATTCGACAAAAATTTGCTGTTGAACCTTTACTTTTACATATACCAATTGGTCATGGAAAACAATTTACTGGTATGATTGATCTATTAAATGAAACTAAAATTTCATCAAATGATCAAATAAAATTTTCATCTGAATTTTTAACTAAAGAACGTTTAAAATTAATTGAAAAATTAGCTGATATTGATGATAAAATAGCTGAACTTTTATTATTTACTGATAAACCTATTTCAAATATACAATTAAAACAATCTATTTGTCGTTTAATGATACGTAATCAACGTTTTGTTCCTGTACTTATTGGTAGTTCATTAAAAAATATTGGTGTTCAAACATTACTTGATGCTATTATTGATTATCTTCCAAATGCAAGAATAATTCCAGGATCATTATCAAATTTAGGTACTTTAATATATATATTTAAAACAATTCATGATCGACAAAAACAACCATTATCATTTGCACGTATTTATTCTGGTTCAGTTAAAAGACGAATATCATTAATAAATACACGAACTAATGAAAAAGAACAAATTAATAAAGTTTTTCTTCCATTTGCTGATAATATGGAAGATATTGATGAAATTCGAGCTGGATCTATTGCTGTTCTTAGTGGATTGAAAGAAGTATGTTGAAATATTTTATCATAAGAAACAAAAAAAAATACAATTCAATAATAATTTTTTAAATATAATCAACATGTAGATTTTGTGTATGCTGTAAATCGATGAACATACAATCAGAATTAGATAAATTTTGAAAAATAGTTGAATTTCATACGTCTATTGTATTAATGATATTGAAATAGATATAATTAGGATTTCTATTTATAGTCAAATAAGGCGTATCTCGTATTTAAATTTTTAATACTGTGAACTAAATTCACATAAAAATTAAAATTTCCGAATTAATGGGTCCTCTCAAAAAAAAAACCCAATTTTTCGAGAAAATATCGAAGTTGAGTTTTTGTCATAGGTAGATGCACCGAAACTTCCTCTTTCAGAATATATACGAATTTTTGCAAACAATCAGAGTTTCACAGGTTTATAACATGAAATTCCGATTTTACTATCATGTTTTCGAAGAAATTTTCATTGGTTTTTTAAAGTTTTTCTATTTTGGAAAAGCTTTAAAATAGTTCATTGGAATGTATTAAAAATATGCAATTGTAATATGATATTTAAATGAAAAAATCCATTTCTAAAACTTCTTTAGGATTTTTTCAAAAAACATGATTTTCAGACAGGAAAATTGGAATAACTCGCACCTAGTTCAAGATATAACCAATTTTTTTTTCTTGTAAAGATCTCAATGAGAGTAAACTTTCGTTCAACCAGATTTTTTATTTATTAAAATGTTTATAACAAATACATAGAAAGGAATTTCAAAATTCTGTTCGGATAAAAGTTGCGCACAGCAGTTAACTTCAATTTGAAACCATCCAGAACTCTGTATCTCTTATAGCCCCTTAAGTCATTGTGATCAGTTCATCCAGCTCTATAAACTAGTATGAAGTTGGTTACAAACGAAGATTCATCCTTGGGGATCTTACCATCGTTTTAATGAAATTTTTATTTAGAACAAGATACAGGGTATGTCAAAATTATAGACCCCCCTTTGTCATCGAATTTTTTCTCTGAAAACGAGCTGCTGAATCAAATGTAAGTAGTGA